GGTGCTGTGAGAACCCTATATATCCAGGCTGTGTTGCTGCTTACAGGGACGACAACACACTCTAGTTGCTTAATTAGTTTCTCTCTTCTTCTTCTTCTTCTTCTTCTTTTTCTTCTTCTTTCACTTTTTATAATAAACTATCAACTTTATGGTTTAACCCTTTGAGGACGATGGTTTAACCCTTTGAGGACGATGGTTTAACGTTGTCATGCCCCCAAGGTTTTAAGGATGGAGAGAGAGAACAAAGACTCTATGCTCAAAACAAAGTGCAATAGGTCGAGTAAACAGGATGATCCATTTCTTCGCCCCACATTAAAAACAATAATAAAAATGATTTGTGTGTTTTATAGAAGAGACCGATAATGTCGGCTTTTCCGTCCCCCCTCTCCTTACCCCTCCCTCCTCCCTTCCCTTCCCAACCCCACCTACCCCTACCTTTGCCTACCCTCCACCTCTGTACCTTCTTCTTACCCTCTACCCATCCTCTCCTCCCATCCTCCACCTCCCATCCCCCCCCTCCCATCCTCCCCTCCCCCAGTTCGTAACGTTTGATGTTTTTCTTTGTTTTATGTTATTACATTTTTGTATTATAAATGCTGGCGGACGCTGGAAAATGTATATTAGAATTTACCTGTTATCCTGTGTTAAGTTCCTCCAGCGTCGAGGCTTTGTTTACAAATGGTTGCTTGAAAGATCACGGGATTAGATCATTTATTGAAGGTGACGTAAATCTAACTGTTGTATTGACTAACCTAACGTTGCCTAATTTAATCTACTCTGGTTATCTTTTAGTATTTTTTATTTATTTTTTGTTCAGAAAATGTTTTAATGCCGTTGTCCCCGCAAACAGCCATATGTGAACACCGAACACAGGACGCGGTTCACCTTCTGGAAACGACGCGTGATTCTAAGTTCAGAATTGTTTTTGTTTTTTACGTCCGCCACCCGTTTCTGAAATAAGAAATAATGTTTGATAATTCCGTAAGTGAAATAACGGAGAAAACACGAAAACATTGAGAGGTCAACATTACCAAACTATCCCTTGCGATTATCGGATTTACTGTCGAAAACAACATGGATGAAGACTTCATTCACGATATGTAATGGCGAGAATAAAAATGGTCGGTTATGGTCCGAGTTGGTGTTTATTGTGGCGTGGCACGAGTGTAGTTATCGTACGCGGACGCAAAGTTGTTGAACTTGAGCACTCGCAGTGAGTGATCGTGCCGCGGTGTGAACGGCTGCTCCAAGCGCTCACCGCCCACTAATGACTCGTTAATGATATCAGGCGGGAGAGAACATCACTTAATCTTTCTAATGTAGTCGTTTTTTAGGTTAATTCCTGCCTTTATATTTTATCCGGGAGTCGTTGATGTTGACTCAGCCAGCGACAGCAGTATAAGACTTGACGAAGTGGATTGTTTCAAACTCACATTCTGTTAAAAATGTTTTTGCTATGTTTTCAAACTTAAGCTAAAGCTCAAAAATCTTTATGGGTATTTTCAAACTCAAATTCAAAAAGAAAAGTTTTAATACGGGCCATAACGGTGAAGTTGTTTGTCACTGGTGCTGTTATGTTAAATTTGTCGTTTGGTTTTACCGCAGTGACTTTGATGTTAGTGAGAGTAAATGAATAAATGATGACCTGGGTCGACAACCATATCTCTGGGGTGACTTAGTGATATTAAAGGTACAGTATATGGTAAATAGTCTGTCTATCCACGTGTTATTTTAGGTTAGGGAAAATTAATTGAGGAATTATATGTTTGAGGTAACGTTAACTTAGTCGCTAATTACCATTGTGTCTCGGCTAACACAAGTTAAGCTGTGGTGGCTTTATCTGTAGCATTGTTGTAATCGCCAATCAGGCGGTTAAAGGATTTATTGAAACTTGTGGCGTTGGACTTAAACAATATAATTTGGTCAAACCTGTTGGATACAATTCCTTTTAGTATTTCACATAAATCATACATAGGCAATCACATACTGTAAATGTCTAATCCAATATATATTTACATAACAATCATAGCTATGTAATCAGTCTAATCTTAACACTTATAATGAGTATTTAAGTTTCCATATTTTTATGTCATCACAATGATAAACGAAGCAATGGACACAGTCTACCTGTGTACACAATAAGAACCAGTTAAACTTACGTGTTGAAAGTCTCAAGAGAAACCAGGTTAGGTGTTGCCTCTGTGGTCTGAATAGCTACAGTGCCCATATCCTGCTGTCTCACTAACCCTCTCTCGATGGGTGAGGGCTGCTGAGTCAGGTGATTATACACAAACAAGCTCCCTTACTACCACCCAACACCTCACCTCCTCTAGGTCTCTCATCTTCAACCATCTCAACACTCTACACACTGTATACGGGCAGGCACACCCAATAAACATGACATGACTTACAGCCTAACATAGTGATGGTTTATGTGTCATCCTACTCATTACTGCTTGCGGTAACAATTGTAATACGATATTGTATGATATTACGACCTGTGGTATTATATAGTGTATACCTTGTGATTTGTAATATATATTAAACACATTGACTTTTTTCACAAGATTCACTGAACAATAACAATAACAATAATCTCAAAACTATATATATATATATATATATATATATATATATATATATATATATATATATATATATATATATATATATATATATATATATATATATATATATATATATATATATATATATAATGATAGAAGATGCAGTTCACTTATAAGTCGGTAAACTGTACCGCCGTGCTCTACAACAAATGTCTTGAAACGTGTACTGTACTGTACTGTACTGTACTGTACTGTACTGTACTCCCTATTAGTAAGTACTCTACAAAGCAACAATTTATAATTCAAAGATATGAAGTTTGGCTGCACTCCGCAGTTATCGGGGGCGGCGCATGAGCAGTATTGTCCACACCAGAGTAAGACTTACTGATAACCTAACGTCAAATTTATTTCCTCTTGAAATGAAGTAATTTAGTGGTGGAAGAGATCAAAGCCTCGTCCTCAGGGTACGAGTCCTCAGCTGACCTGCCACTCACCGCCTTTATTTTTTACCAGAAGCTTTCGGCCTCTCTAGCTACACTGATGTTAAAGGTTAGGTCAGGTGAGGTGAGTGAGGTTAGGTTAAGTTTGGGTGAAATAATTTGGCAGTTAATCTTCAGGTGATCCGTGTTGCATAGTTGCATGTGGTGTATCCGTGTTGCATAGTTGCATGTGGTGTGAGGATGAAAGGGGGGGGAGTGAGCTAATACAGCCAAGCACAGTGAGGTGAAGTGGTGATTGGCACAGCATAGTTTGATGTACTCTACTGAAACTCAGCATAGTCCAATGAGCTAAACTGAGACTCAGCATAGCCTAACACAGCTAAGTCACGAACGTTCGCATTGTAAAGAGAAGTGAATTTACTTAAAACAGCATAACTTGAGCAACAGTGAATAGTAACTTACCCTGCCGTTCCAGTGTGGTAAATTGATATTAACATAGCATAGGTTATGAGACTGAGCCATTAACACTGAGATTAGCTTAACATAGTGAGCTTAATATTCGCATTGGAGAGTCGAGAGAGAATAAATTGAAATATATAGTCTTCACACACACACACACACACGGGGGTCACAGCTTGAAGTGGCGGCCTGGCTTATGAAACGTTACGACCGGAGATGAAACGTTTCGAATTGGAATGAATGAGTCTGGCTTTATACAGTGTAAATGAATGAATAGCCCCCCCTCCCCCTCCCCCTCCCCCTCCCTTCCTGTGTTATTCATTTAAAGACAATAGACCTGTACTCGTGTTATTTTTTTAAACTTTTCCAATTTGAGGTTAGTTATTTGAATGTGTAATGAGTGATGGTTAGCGGAGTGAGTTACAGATTTGATAGATGTTTGTTGAATGTTGATAGATGTTTGTTGAATGTTGATAGATGTTTGTTGAATTTTGATAGATGTTTGTTGAATGTTGATAGATGTTTTTTGAATGTTGATAGATGTTTGTTGAATTTTGATAGATGTTTGTTGAATGTTGATAGATGTTTGTTGAATGTTGATAGATGTTTTTTGAATGTTGATAGATGTTTGTTGAATTTTGATAGATGTTTGTTGAATGTTGATAGATGTTTGTTGAATGTTGATAGATGTTTGTTGAATTTTGATAGATGTTTGTTGATTGTTGATAGATGTTTGTTAGATGTTGATAGATGTTTGTTGAATGTTGATAGAAATTTATTGATTATTTAAGTGACCGAATATATAAGGTATATGAGTGAGTTGTAGGAAAGTTTGGTTTACCTTAGACCCCTTCAGAAAAATCATCCCCCTAACCTAACCTAACCTAACCTAACCTAACTGAACGAAAAGTAAAGAAAAAAGTCAACATTCTATCATCAACTGAAATTCTGGGACATTCAACGAAAAGTGGGGAACAAATCTATCTTCTGGTCTCTGAGTGGCATTAATAAGGTACTGAACTAATTGGTTGTATTGGGGACTGCCCGACCTACATTCACTGCCCTGATTAGTGGTCAAGAAGCATCAGGGTAGTTACGATTGTTAATGGTATTCTGTTTGGTTTGGTTAGGTTAGTTTAAGTGACACCAAATTACTCAGCTCCAAGGTTGCAGTGGGTAGATGCCATTTAACTCATTAGATGATTACAGTGACACATATTATGGTTAACACATATTAGCAACACCTGAGTTACCTGTCAAGATGTTCACTGAGTTATATACATTACTAACACCTGAATGTTCTGGCGAAAGGTAGATGCAGAGTGACACGTGTTTACTACAGGTGAGGGACCACTAAGGTGTGCTGAGCCGGGTGTTGTTCTCTGTGGCTGTCCAGGTGTCTCGTTACGCCTCGGATGACGTCACCTGATACGACACACTAACCCTCAAGTATGTAAGAGTCACTGGTAAAAGTTGTCTGAATATGACTGAAACTCCGAACTGCTGAAGCACGTCTGTGAATTGCTGGAATGAGTCTCTGAACTGCTGCAACGAATCTCTAAACTGCTGGAACGTGCCCCTGAACCGCTGGAACGAGTCTCTGAACTGCTGGAACGAGTATCTGAACTGCTACAACGAATCTCTAAACTGCTGGAACGTGCCCCTGAACCGCTGGAACGAGTCTCTGAACTGCTGGAACGAGTATCTGAACTGCTGCAACGAATCTCTAAACTGCTGGAACGTGCCCCTGAACCACTGGAACGAGTCTCTGAACTACTGGAACAAAACCGTCTGAATATAGAGGCACAGTCGACATGATTCGCTGCGATGGATATCCTGAGATTACACCGAGACAAACTCCACCTCTTTTGGGAACATTAAGCTGCAGGGTCAGACGCCTCCTGAGAGAAAAAGAGAGAGAGAGACAGAGAGAGACAGAGAGAGAGGCTTCAAGAGGCTTCATCTGATCCTTGATACTCACGAGAAACACAACTCTTCGCTTTTAGCCTTGGATGTTTTCTCTTTCAACGGTGGATAGTGTTTCTTTTATGTGTTTATAAACATTCCCAAAATAAACGGGAAGCATATTGGGTCTTTTATAAACCAAATATAGCGTTAGTCTTAGTTATCGTCTCTATACACGATTAAACTTCAACGAGAATCTCATTATCTGGTGATTAATTTCAGATATATTTGATAAACGAAACACTAATATATTCAATGTTTAAGACTTGTGTGTTGTTAAAGTCGCTAGCCAGTCCGCCATCCGAACACTGATGGATGACGTCACGGGTCGCTGATTAACAAAAGAAAACAAACGTCAAGAGGCATTCTTCAGGGGCTTTGTTTGAATCCCTGCAAAATCAGTTCCTTCTCATCGTGGGTATTTTTTCGACTATCCACCACTATCATCACCACTATCACTATCATCACCACTACCACCACCACGTATCACCATCACCACCACGTATCACCATCACCACGTCCTTCCTAATTACTACCATCAAGTACCACCTCCTCCTCACATGCTCCAATAATAATCATTAATTTCTTGAGTACGATGTCTTAACCCCTTGAGTATAATGTCTTAACCCCATGAGTACGATGTCTTAACCCCATGAGTACGATGTCTTAACCCCTTGAGTACGATGACATAACCCCATTAAGTCATCAGGTCATAATGCTCAAGGAGATAAGTTATCGTAATCAAGGGGTTAAGACAATGTACTCAATAAGTTAAGTCATCGTACTCAAGGGGTTAACTTTATATAGTGCGCCTCATTGGTCACCTACCAAAGGAAAATTAATCTCTATCTTAATTAATTTACATCCTTCTCTCTCCTCCCGTATTAATTCCTGTAGCACCTTTATTGGTTTGTTTTGATTACCTCAACTTAAAAATAAAAACAAGAGAACTAGAGGAAAGTCAGGTTAATATTCATGTACACACTCCAATAAGTATCTTCACGGAGGCGATCGATGAATTTCAAAATGAACACTGCGACTCCTGTTGTCTCGGTAGGGTTGTCAAAATCCTTCGTCCGTTGTGTCATATTATCTCACACAAAATCGTCAAGATATTTTTTTTCTGGGGGGGGAGGAGGAATTTAATTAACAATGCTCATATGTTTGGCTTTGGTGAGTTTATATACTGTGAAGTTATCGTCCTGAATGACTAATTAAGATGGTATAAAAGTACAGGTGGTAGATGTCCACAGGTGTTAACAGGGGGTAATGTGACGGAACCAACTCTGAGGTGAAGATATTTAGTGAAATTTATTGCAAAAATGACGTCTTCTATTAATAGGATTCATAAACAGTGAAAGAACTAGAATTTTACCCTCCTCCTCCTCCTCCTCCTCTACAGCTCCTCTACAGCCCGACGGACACTCAGTTTAATGGGTTCTGATAGATCTGTGTAGCCTCCATGTTCTACAGTGTTAAGTAACATGAGTACGGTTTTAAGTTGCAACATCAGTAACTACAGTAATAAAGAGTTAACATGATAAAGTACAATAATAAAGAGTTAACATGATAAAGTACAATAATAAAGAGTTAACATGATAAAGTACAATAATAAAGAGTTAACATGATAAAGTACAATAATAAAGAGTTAACATGATAAAGTACAATAATAAAGAGTTAACATGATAAAGTACAATAATAAAGAGTTAACACATGATAAAGTACAATAATAAAGAGTTAACATGATAAAGTACAATAATAAAGAGTTAACACATGATAAAGTACAATAATAAAGAGTTAACATGATAAAGTACAATAATAAAGAGTTAACATGATAAAGTACATTAATAAAGAGTTAACATGATAAAGTACAATAATAAAGAGTTAACATGATAAAGTACATTAATAAAGAGTTAACATGATAAAGTACAATAATAAAGAGTTAACATGATAAAGTAAGGAATAACATAGGTCAGTATAACTCGTTGTCTGCAGCGTTACCACCTGCATCTGTCTCGGCCGCACATTGTTTACATCTGGCGTTCAAGTTCATTCTGAAAAAAAAAGAGTAGAACCTCGTCAACAAAGGATTAAAATTCGCTCATAACACGGGATTTATGAACTCTTCAGGGGTGCGGTGGATTTATCTCTTGGTTCAACCGTAGAGGAAGGATTTGAACTTATTGAATCGAATTGTTTTTTTTTTCCAACAATGGATGCCCCGTTTGGTATTGTATCCACGCTATGATTTCAATGTTGGGATTAACTCCACCCATTGATTCAGTGTTGGTGTGCATTGTGTACGTGTTGATTGAGCAGAGGGATTAATACTTAAACTCCTTCGGCTACTGACTGCTGTTGTTATTGTTCAGGGTTTGTTCATGATGGTTCATTTTCTCCAGTTAATCCGGATTTGGTGATTGTTTATGCAGGCTGTTTTGGTTGGTTGGTGTAATTTGTTTTGTAATGAGTAAATCGATCCCAGAAAAACGTAATGTTGTACAAAAACTAATTATCGGTGTTTCCTTGTGTTGTTATCAGTACACTCACCAAAGATAAGGTTGTGTAGAAATAATAACCGTGTGTTGTGAGCAGTAAATGAGGTTGTAAAAGGTATATTATTCTTTGGTGGAACTTAATATTGATACATTTGTTATATGAGCATTTACGAAGGAACAGTACAGTGACTTACCTGTAGTCTTAAAGGTTACAAAAGGTGGTGAATGTAGCCTCCGTCCAGGTCACAACAGGTTATGTTATGTTAGCGTTAGGTTAGGTTAGGTTAGGTTAGCGTTAGCGTTAGGTTAGGTTAGGTTAGCGTTAGGTTAGGTTAGGTTAGCGTTAGGTTATGTTAGCGTTAGGTTAGGTTAGCGTTAGGTTAGGTTATGTTAGCGTTAGGTTATGTTAGCGTTAGGTTATGTTAGCGTTAGGTTATGTTAGCGTTAGGTTATGTTAGCGTTAGGTTATGTTAGCGTTAGGTTATGTTAGCGTTAGGTTAGGTTAGCGTTAGGGGTTAGAAGTAGCTAGGTTATGTTAGGGGGTTAGTTATGTTAGCAAGTAAGAAGAAGTAAGTAGTTTTGTGTTGTGTGGGTGCCCAGCTCCAGTATATTATGCATTACTGAAATAATAACAATCCTCCTGCATGCTTTAGTAATCTTAGTTGGACCCCTCATTCCAACCCCTCAAACGTCCTCTCACCTCTCTACTTCTGCCTCTCCTTCCCACCTCCCTGTTAACAGGACGCGCGGTATTATGACAGCAGTGTTGTGTTGATACATCTATTTTATGCAGATGATCGCCAGTGCTGCCAGCACCGATGACACCGTTGTTATGTAAATGGCGCCGCTCACCTCGCCTAATAAACTCACCGTGTAGTATCTGCCACTTGATAACGCCCCAGCTTTTTTTTTTAGGTTAATGTATGACTTTTTAATCCTTCTTTTTTTTAACTTTTAGAATTTTAATGACTGAGCCAAAAGCTACAATATTTGACAGGAGTATGATAGTTTTAGGCCTCTGTGTACGATAGTTTTAGGTCTATACAATAGTTTTAGGCCTCTGTGTACGATAGTTTTAGGTCTATACAATAGTTCTAGGCCTCTGTGTACGATAGTTTTAGGTCTATACGATAGTTATAGGCCTCTATGTATGATAGTTTTAGGTCTCTGTGTACGATAGTTTTAGGCCTCTATGTACGATAGTTTTATGCCTTTGTGTACGATAGTTTTAGGCCTGTGTACGATAGTTTTAGGCCTGTGTACGATAGTTTTAGGCCTTTGTGTTTGGTGTATTGAATCATGAATAATTGCCATTGTTTGAAACGAGTATAATTAAAAGTTCTGTTGTTCTGTCCACATGTTGGCGGATGGCAATGTCCCTTTGTCAGTCCACATCCGGTGTCACTTGTTTTTATAGTATGACCTAAAAAGGGACTACGCTTTTACTATGATCGCTCTAACTGTGTATACTGTTCAATACGACCTATGGCACACGTAAATGTTCACTCTTAGGTTATGTAAATGCATGTACTACGACAGAGTGAATCATTTAAGTGTGTTGTGAGTGCGTGTTAAGTGTGTCGTGAGTGTATATTAGTAGCCTTGAACTGCTTGTGGGTACAGGTATATGATATTTGTATACCCTGAGCATTAACACAAACATTCACCCCAACATATACCCTTAAGACAAAAACATTCACCCCCAACATATACCCTTAAGACACAAACATTCACCCCAACATATACCCTTAAGACAAAAACATTCACCCCAACATATACCCTTAAGACAAAAACATTCACCCCAACATATACCCTTAAGACAAAAACATTCACCCCAACATATACCCTTAAGACAAAAACATTGATTCAATTCCCAACATATAATTCTTAAGATAAAACATTCAATTTCAATATATACCTAAGATAAAAAGACGACCCTAACATATACCCTTAAGATAAAACATTCACCCCTAACATATACCCCAGATACATAACCATCTTACCCCTAACATACACCCTCCTTAAGAGATACAAAAAAATGACATTCACCCCAACATATACCCTTAAGACACAAACATTCACCCCAACATATACCCTTAAGACAAAAACATTGACCCCAACATACACCCTTAAGACAAAAACATTCACCCCAACATATACAGGACAACAGGAAGCAGGGGGGGGGGGGTCCATGTGGTGTTATGATCATGTCAACGTATTTCCCTCTCGTTGGACGTTTAATTTCAGCTTTTGAGACTTGCTAATGTAGAAGTTAATATGCATATACCACTCAGGCCTGTGGGGGATGGCGTGTGTGTGTGTGTGTGTACATGTGTGAACTATCACCCGGCGGGG